ATATATATATATATATATATATATATATATATATATATATATATATATATATATATATATATATATATATATATATATATATATACGTATATATATATACATATATATATATATACGTATATATATGTATATATGTATATATGTATATATATATATATATATATATATATATATATATATATATATATATATATATATATATATATATATGCAATACGTTTAAGTTTCAATGTTGTAATCTTCTGCATAAATTAAACTTGCCAAGTTGTCACGAGATTATTTTAAAATTACTGCTATAGTAATCGCACAATAATCGTTTTAAAAAATATAAATCAATGAGATTTAATCTCATAACAATCAAATATGAAAGTTCTAGTGTTAAATACCATTTAAAAATCTGGAATAAAGAAATAATATTTTCATATAATCCATATTGGAATAGAATGAGAATAAAATAGATGAATGGGAAAGGCTGTGGTGACTTAGTTTTAGAGGTCTTAAAATAGTAGTTGTTTTTTACTAATTATCAGTGACATAGTTTTATTCTATTAGGAAGATTGTTCCACAAATTAACCCTTTATCGCCTGACTACGTTGGGCCCGGTCTGTGTTTAACATAGAGATCCAGGGGATCGAACTCTGCCGACCACACCACCGTTGAGATAAAGGGTTACACGACAACTGGGAGTGTCTGTAGAGATAAAGGCATCGTTCCAAGGGAGATAGTCGTGTTAGTTCTGATGGTATTGTTAAATAAACAATCCTCACCAGTTTTAGTTGTATGCTGTTTAATTAAAATAATCTTAGTTGCACTGGAAGTATTTGGGGTTTTATTTAAAGAGTAATTTTTGCAAGTGTACTTAATTGAGACTTAGGTTAATGAGCCATTATACATTTTAACGACGTTATTTGATAACAATGGGCTTTTTTTATAACAGATAATTTTATTTTGTTATCGTTCTGACAAAAAAAAATCGACCAAAAGAATTGATTTCAGCGATGCGCCATTTGATGTCAAGTCTGCCTACACACTAGGGTTATGGGATGGATATTCATCAAGCCTTGAAATTGACACATTTTTTTACTTGCTTATTTCTTCAATCTTCGCCAGCCTTCTTTCATACTGGCAGTTCAGTTTAAATTGTCTGCTGTGTTAGTAAATCGTACTTTACCGTCCGTGATAGCAATTCCCCACACCTTTTTTACTTTCTCGTATATACGAAGTATAGAGAAAGTCTTGTGATCGTGCAAGAAAAAAAAAATCGAGATTATTCAGATACGTACCACCTATGCAGAATAGTTTATTTGGCGAAGTTATGCAAAAAAAATAATGAAAACATTAATTTCAACAGCATTCAATATACAAAATGTGACCTATAAACAATGCTTGTTACATAACGATATAGACAGAAGAAAAAAGCATGTTTGTCTTGGTGGTTTGGTCGCGATTAGCCCGTAGTTGTGAAACAGACGTACTGAAATTAATGATACTTTAACTTTCTTTAAATTTAGTATAGTCCATACTGGCGAAATTATTTTATTGTGTTTGAAAAAAATAAAAAAATTGATTAGAGTTAGTGTTATGATTAGGGTTAGAGTTAGTTTAAGGGTTAGAGTTAGAGCTAAGGTTAGGTTTAGGGTTAGATTTAAATTCAATATTTGATTTTTTTTTAAAGCACAAAAAAAAAAGGATTTCGACAGTACGGACACCGTCCAAAATGATAATACTTCCGTTTCCTCAGTACGGGTTAGACGCGCTTTTCTCTGTCTACTTAGATATTTGTGTACAAGTTATTTTTGTCCAAATCTCCAATCTGAGTGGTCGAATCTTCCGACACAGCTGGTGTTGTTGCCTAGAGGGATAGCTGATCATTTCCGACCCGGAATCCAGTAGTTCATCAATCAGGGTAGAGTTTCGTGTACTTCACCAGGGATCCTGTTCATGTTACGTAACTAGTATGTAGAAGGGCTGTTTTATTATTGTGTTATATTGTTATTTGAGTCAGAGTGGAGGTATGTTATATAACACTGACTTTGACTCTGTTTATTGTCATGCTTGCCGTGTTTGCTATTTGTGCAGGGTTGATAAATGGACTCACACACAATGGTGTAACAAAAATGTAGCTAGGATAGACAAAGTCCACGGGTCCCCGCTGTCGAAGGGCCACATAGCTATCCAAATTTAAAAAATTGAACTATTTATTAAGCTAACGCTGTTTAAAAAATACATTTAAATCACCCCTGGGGGTCGCGAAGGGCTTTCTGGGGGGGGGGGGGGGGGTCGCCAACTGGTATACTAAATCTTAGCAATGATAAACAAAACATAAATATTTAAAACAATATCTGAAATTCGGCTTTAATAACCTCACTGGAAATGGAATAGAGAAGAAGCCATGCGTACTGTACAAAGTGAACCGTGTTTTTGAATTGAAATCTCAAATCAAATTGTTTATGGAAGTGCAAAGGAAACAAGACCTTTTGTTATACTTAATACGACATAGAGTAGTTGGAGAGAGTATCATACCTAACAGATATATTCGAACATCAACATAAGCTTAACCTGAAGCTTCAGGGAAAATGAACGAATATTATCACTTTCCATTATTTTTATCAAAGCTGCAAAATTGGCGAAGAAAATAAATCTTGGAAATATTGAAAATTTTAGAAACTCTGCAGTGTGGTAGATGAATCTGATTGTGAAATAATAAAATTTTTGAAAGAAGCGATTTCTGGGCATCTTGAATCTCTTGAAAACGAACTGCGGCGCTATTTTTCTGAGCTGAAAGAAGAAGAATCTGCATTGACGCATTACCCATTCTCTACTTCCCTTGATGTTGCCAGCATTCACGATGAATTACAAGATGAATTCTTTGATTTGCAGAATGATTCCGCGTAAGATGAAAAACTGCAGGCAAAATTTTGGTGTAGCATTCACCATTCATACCCAAACGTAAAATTGATTGACTTTTCTAGAACAGAGTTTCAACACTATTCTCCGATTAAAAACAAAATTAAGAAATAAATTAAATGTTGATAACGATATAGGTTGGCGTTAACAATAACTTAACAGCGAATGTTTCGTAAATAGCTTGCAATTTTTCTCATTGTATTAAAACAGTTGTAGATAGTAGTTCATATCGAAAGTCTTATTTTAGTGCTTATTAATTTCCATACGAAAATCGGCTTTTTTAAATTCAATGGAGGACGCGGGTCACTTACTTTATATACAAGAGGGTCACCACTCGAAAAAGTTTGAGAACCACTGATATAGTCAATACAGTGGAGCCCGCCGAACGATTCGTATGTGCCCGCCTCTCACTATTCGACAGAGACAGAATTTTTTTCATAAACATTATTGAAAGGTTGAAGGGGATGGAAATCGAAAATTTGAGGGGAGGGGGGTGCAAATCGAAAATTTGAGGGGGGGTGCAAATCGAAAATTTGAGGGGGGTGCAAATCGAAAGTTTAAAGGGGGGGGGGTGCAAATCGAAAGTTTTGTCCCGGGGTGACGGAAAGGGTCGCTACGCCTCTGGAAGGAGTTTGTCGATTTAAAATAGGTGGTGCCCGCCACCCTACCGATATTTTAGAATGTGCTCTAGAGTAAAAAAAGGTTGGGTACCCCTGAGGTAGAATAGAAGTTATTGAATGTACTGTTTTTATTTTAAATATCAATATAGTTTCTTTCAGCTTTTGTCGTGGTTTAATTACGTAGCATATGTACTAAAAATATATTTACTTTTAAAAGAAGCAAAAATTTGTTGTAAAAAGTAGTAAACAGCTATTTTACATAACTAAATAAAATTATTTTCTTTATATAAATAAAATTGGAAAAGAAAAGGTTAAATATAAAAAAACACATTAAAGATTGGCATTTATTTCCCTTGCTTTTGATATCTGTAGCTTAGACTTTCGCGTAAAAAAACCTCATGTCTTTCAATGTTCACGGGCCCCCGGCTGATCGGTAACCGGCTGGTATAAAATATAACCTGACATTTCCTTGAATTTGATGTCACTCACACAGATAATTTTTTTAAAATAACATTTTAATACCAAATTATGTCTTGCTCATATAATATACGAGATGTGACGTTCTATGAAAATGTTTCATAATTTTATTTATATCGTGTTGGGATGTGACAAAAATGTCACATTTTGCGTTATACAAAACTTTACGATCCCCTTACAGTGTTGCACGGTCGGCGTCATTCTTCCATCAGTGAATACAGCCCAGTAGCGTAGCGAGGGAAGGGGGGGGGGGGGGGGGGGGCGGGGGGACATATGTACCCGGGTGCCGACCTTAGGGGCGCCAAAATGGGTTGGAAAAATAAATTGAAAGGTTGAGGGGGGTGCAAATCGAAAGTTTGAGGAGGGGGGTGCAAATCGAAATCTTGAGGGGGTGTGCAAATCGAAATCTTGAGGGGGGGGGGTGCAAATCGAAAAGTTTGTCCCCGGGCGCCGAGAATGGTCGCTACGCCTCTGATACAGCCACACCAAGTCAAAACAGTTCTTTTCTAAAGCGTGGTTCGAATCATTCAAATTGTTCTTCCAATGAAACACACGTGCGAATGATCGCTCAAACAAACGGATGTATCCATAGCTGAATATTTTTATGTGTCAAATGAAAGGGCCAAAGACCAGATTACAACAATCGATCACAACTAACGTTTACATTAAAACATTGACAGTTTCCATTTGGGCCCGTTGTTAGAAAGACCATCAATTAGTGTCAAATATCAGGCAATATTCTATGGTCGCCATTTAAATTTATTTTTTTGCCAGGATTTCCCATACTTCACATGGACCAAACAATTACATAGTAGAGGTATAAGCATTTAAAAGTGAATTTCAATGTGTAAAATATAACTTTTTTAGCAATCGTCTTACGCTTTTCAGCTTTCAGTTGTAATAAAATAAAAGTAACAGTTGTTTCCATAGCAACTGTTCGTTTATCAGTTGTTGTTTTCAGTCACCATGGTAACCGTCCGTTGTTTACCTCCCCAGACGTCAGCTGTGAGCTCAACTGTTGGCACTGTATCTCAGAGAACTGCGACCAGGACCCGAGGAACGTCTTCTCTGCCGAGAAAAGGACGTGCTACCAGGGGCAGAAATGTCAGGTCAGTTGCCGTGCTACTAGGGGCAGAAATGTCAGGTCAGTTGCCGTGCTGCTAGGGATAGAAATGTCAGGTTAGTTGGGACAGAAATGTCAGGTCAGTTGGGAAAGAAATGTCAGGTCAGTTGGGACAGAAATGTCAGGTCAGTTGGGACAGAAATATCAGGTTAGTTGGGACAGAAATGTCAGGTTAGTTGGGACAGAAATGTCAGGTTAGTTGGGACAGAAATGTCAGGTCAGTTGGGAAAGAAATGTCAGGTCAGTTGGGACAGAAATGTCAGGTCAGTTGGGACAGAAATGTCAGGTTAGTTGGGACAGAAATGTCAGGTTAGTTGGGACAGAAATGTCAGGTTAGTTGGGACAGAAATGTCAGGTTAGTTGGGACAGAAATGTCAGGTCAGTTGGGAAAGAAATGTCAGGTCAGTTGGGACAGAAATGTCAGGTCAGTTGGGACAGAAATGTCAGGTCAGTTGGGACAGAAATGTCAGGTCAGTAACGTGCTACCAGGGGCAGAAATGTCAGGTCAGTTGACGTGCTACCAGGGGCAGAAATGTCAGGTCAGTTGGGACAGAAATGTCAGGTCAGTTGGGACAGAAATGTCAGGTTAGTTGGGACAGAAATGTCAGGTCAGTTGCCGTGCTACTAGGGGCAGAAATGTCAGGTCAGTTGACGTGCTGCTAGGGATAGAAATGTCAGGTTAGTTGGGACAGAAATGTCAGGTTAGTTGGGACAGAAATGTCAGGTTAGTTGGGACAGAAATGTCAGGTCAGTTGATGTGCTACCAGGGGCAGAAATGTCAGGTCAGTTGCCGTGCTACTAAGGACAGAAATGTCAGTTGCCGTGCTACTAGGGGCAGAAATGTCAGTTGCCGTGCTACTAGGGACAGAAATGTCAGGTCATTTGTGGAAGTGATACCAGTGGCAGAAATGTCAGACCAATTATGTCAGAGGTGGCGGTTCAAGTTAGTAGTAAAGGGGTGGAGGGGTGGGTGGTGAGGTAAGTTGTCTCTGGTGTAGGGGTCAGGTTAGTTGTGTTAGAGGTGTAGGTCAGGTTAGTTGTCAGGGTTGGGGGGGGTGGAATCAAGGGTTGGCTACCAGGGACAAAATATCATGATTGGAGTTGGGGGGGGGGGGTCAAGGGTTGGCTACCAGGGACAAAATATCATGGTTGGAGTGGTGGGGGTTCAAGGGTTGGCTACCAGGGACAAAATATCAATGTTGGAGGGGTGGGGGTTCAAGGGTTGGCTACCAGGGACAATATATCAATGTTGGAGGGGGTGGGGGTTCAAGGGTTGGCTACCAGGGACAATATATCAATGTTGGAGGGCGTTGGGAATAGATCAGTTGTCCCCGGAATGTGGGCAGAAATGTGAGGTGAGTTGTCTTCAATTAGAGGGGGGGGGGTGTCAGGATTCTACAGGTAAGAAAAAGATTAACATAGGTGATGTATTGTGCAGTGTAATGCTGCATTTGTCGAATGACTTCCAAGAACATGAATATAAAAATCACAGACAATAAGGAAGAGTATACATTTGACGAAAAGACGTTCAATCGAATGATTATTGAAAATTGTATAGAAGAGCGCACGATAATAACTGGCGAAATGGCTTCCAAACAAAGATGTAAAAAAAAAAAACAACAACACAAAGCTTCACCCAGCAATAGGCAAATACTTAAAAGTACAAAGCTGCACATGACCAAGTGAAATTACAAAGAAACATTTAGATCTATTTAGATTAGTGATCGATATAAGATGACAGGTGTCCTTGTTTGAATGGCCAGCCCACTATCTTTTCACCCCCACACGCTTATTATTCTAAACGTTTCTATACTTCTACATATATATTCACATACACAGGGATGGAGTAGCCGCCCTTGAACCAACCCCAGTGAGCTGTTGCCTAGAGTTATGTGCACTTTTGACGATGTATTGCACACAATTAGAGTGTCTTCCATTCATCTCTTCCCCCCCCCCTCCCCCGCCCCAAGCCCCGAAAAAAGGTTTATTCCCCCCCCCCCCCCCCCCGGAGAAAAAATGTCTGGAAGAAAACACTGGCCAAATCGCAGTCTATTGTAGGTACTCATGCAAGAAAATGTGCGCTAGAGTAGTTACATAAGTCGCTATGCACTAAATTACATCTATGAAATACATTTGTTTTATTATACTGTATTGTCTTATTATTATCTTATTAACATTTTAACACCAACTACTTTAAACGAAATTTCTTAAAATAAGTTAAACGCTGAGGGTAAAAAATCTCTAGAACTAAAAAGTAAAAAATAATATTGTCTAGTGTGTAGATCTTGTTGACGATTTTCAGTTTTATATGGCTTGCCCACTCTATGAGGCGTGTAAACAGTAAACTATTTATTCAAAGTCCGCTAGCTTTTATTTAAAAACTACTCACAAAAGGAAGGCTTAACTAGACATTATAAAAACAAGCTCTTAATTTTTATCTAAACTACTCATTGAATTCGGTTAAACACACTACGATTACGACAATCGGTCACAAATGTCGTTTTTAATTTGATCATTTCGTAAAGTAGGTGTTTTATTATTTTAGTTTTCCAGTAAATTTCACGCGTTAATTAAATTGTGTGGATAATCATTGGAATGTAACATCAATGTAAATAAACCAAACACCGGGCTAAGTATTGATTTTCTGTATGAATTTTATGTTTTCAAATTTTGTTGGGGGGGGGGGGCGATGTATATGTTTTTGTATATACTCTCCTGTATATCTCCCCAGAAGTCGTGTTTGAGATGCGCAGCGAACCCAACCCTAAACCCTCTCTAACTATATCTCCCCAGAAAGTCGTGTTTGAGATGCTCAGCGAGCCAACCCTAAACCCTCTCTAACTATATCTCCCCAGAAAGTCGTGTTTGAGATGCTCAGCGAGCCCAACCCTAAACCCCCTCTAACTATATCTCCCCAGAAAGTCGTGTTTGAGATGCTCAGCGAGCCCAACCCCAACCCTAAACCCTCTCTAACTATATCTCCCCAGAAAGTCGTGTTTGAGATGCTCAGCGAGCCCAACCCAACCCTAACCCTCTCTAACTATATCTCCCCAGAAAGTCGGTGTTTGAGATGCTCAGCGAGCCCCAACCCTAAACCCTCTCTAACTATATCTCCCCAGAAAGTCGTGTTTGAGATGCTCAGCGAACCCAACACCAAACCTAAACCCTCTCTAACTATATCTCCCCAGAAAGTCGTGTTTGAGATGCTCAGTGAACCCAACCCCAACCCTAAACCCTCTCTAACTATATCTCCCCAGAAAGTCGTGTTTGAGATGCTCAGCGAGCCCAACACCAACCCTAAACCCTCTCTAACTATATCTCCCCAGAAAGTCGTGTTTGAGATGCTCAGCGAGCCCAACCCCAACCCTAAACCCTCTCTAACTATATCTCCCCAGAAAGTCGTGTTTGAGATGCTCAGCGAGCCCAACCCTAAACCCTCTCTAACTATATCTCCCCAGAAAGTCGTGTTTGAGATTGCTCAGCGAGCCCAACACCAACCCTAAACCCTCTCTAACTATATCTCCCCAGAAAGGTCGTGTTTGAGATGCTCAGCGAGCCCAACCCCAACCCTAAACCCTCTCTAACTATATCTCCCCAGAAGTCGTGTTTGAGATGCTCAGCGAGCCCAACCCCAACCCTAAACCCTCTCTAACTATATCTCCCCAGAAAGTCGTGTTTGAGATGCTCAGCGAGCCCAACCCCAACCCTAAACCCTCTCTTACTATATCTCCCCAGAACGTCGTGTTTGAGATGCTCAGCGAGCCCAACCCCAACCCTAAACCCTCTCTAACTATATCTCCCCAGAAAGTCGTGTTGAGATGCTCAGCGAGCCCAACCCTAAACCCTAAACCCTCTCTAACTATATCTCCCCAGAAAGTCGTGTTTGAGATGCTCATCGAGCCCAACCCAACCCTAAACCCTCTCTAACTATATCTCCCCAGAACGTGTGTGTGAGATGCTCAGCGAGCCCAACCCCAACCCTAAACCCTCTCTAACTATATCTCCCCAGAAAGTCGTGTTTGAGATGCTCAGCGAGCCCAACCCTAAACCCCCTCTAACTATATCTCCCCAGAAAGTCGTGTTCGAGATGCTCAGCGAGCCCAACCCCAACCCTAAACCCTCTCTAACTATATCTCCCCAGAAAGTCGTGTTTGAGATGCTCAGCGAACCCAACCCCAACCCTAAACCCTATCTAACTATATCTCCCCAGAAAGTCGTGTTCGAGATGCTCAGCGAGCCCAACCCCAACCCCAACCCTAAACCCTCTCTAACTATATCTCCCCAGAAAGTCGTGTTTGAGATGCTCAGCGAACCCAACCCTAAACCCTCTCTAACTATATCTCCCCAGAAAGTCGTGTTTGAGATGCTCAGCGAACCCAACCCTAAACCCTCTCTAACTATATCTCCCCAGAAAGTCGTGTTTGAGATGCTCAGCGAACCCAACCCTAAACCCTCTCTAACTATATCTCCCCAGAAAGTCGTGTTGAGATGCTCAGCGAACCCAACCCCAACCCTAAACCCTCTGTAACTATATCTCCCCAGAAAGTCGTGTTTGAGATGCTCAGCGAGCCCAACCCTAAACCCTCTCTAACTATATCTCCCCAGAAAGTCGTGTTCGAGATGCTCAGTGAACCCAACCCCAACCCTAAACCCTCTCTAACTATCTCCCCAGAAAGTCGTGTTCTAGATGCTCAGCGAGCCCAACCCTAAACCCTCTCTAACTATATCTCCCCAGAAAGTCTTGTTCGAGATGCTCAGTGAACCCAACCCCAACCCTAAACCCTCTCTAACTATATCTCCCCAGAAAGTGGTGTTCGAGATGCTCAGCGAACCCAACACCAAGTACACCTCCACAGTCCGCAGCTGCGCCGACGAGTGCATCCCCCAGGACGACTTCCTCAACAACAACTGCACCGACGACATCTACACCAGCCGCGGCTGTGTCCAGCGTGTGTGCTGCGACGACAACGACCTGTGCAACACAGCTGAGAACAGCTTTTCGAACTTTCTTACGCTGGTCCTAACGTCTTCAGCATGCTGGTGGATTAGCTCAGTTCTCAGATGATGAGGTTGGGCCAGTAGCTACTGTAGTGTGGATTGGGGAGGGCTGTGATTTTCCGCGAGTGACAATATATATGTGTATGCCCTATATGTATGTATGAGGGGTTGGCTAAAATCCGCCCATCACAAAGGAATCTGATGTAGTTACGCTAACTCTGACTAAACTTATAATATCAATACCGAGGGTTGTGCTGCTATTATTTACATTCAAATGTACTTTGAAGAAAGGCGACTGGGCACTAGTATCGTGATCCTAACCACAGCAGAAGGCTTATCTGTGATCCTAATTCTAATTCTAATTCTAATTCTAATCCTGACCCTAACCTTAATCCTTACAGCGATACCGGCAAAATAAAACGACTCACTACTGTACTATATCGCCCTGCTTCAGTTGATAAAAAATTTATTCAGACAGCTATGCTGTTATTTACCATATGATATGTATATTTTTTAAACGCATCTTTATAACCATGATGTTTTTCAACAATCGATTATTAATTTAGCTAAAAATATGTTTTAAAAACCTACGAATATTGAGGGGTTACAAAAAATGAGATACACAGACCACAAAAAAAAAACCGTCTAAGTATGTAGGTCATATCTTAACGGTCACGTGACTAGCATACGTTATTCTCTGTCCCAAAAGTTCTATTTACAAAACTTGAGTAAACGATACTTAAAGTACAGAACATGTTGTGAGTCATACTGTTCAAGAACGACAACCTAAATCAGGAACGATCAGCCCCAATACATGTCGTTTAGTCAGGAACGATCACTCATACCAATACAAGAATGACTACTCGTGCCAAGCTTCAAAATTAATGGGAAGAATATATGAAGTATGAACTGAAACCTTAATTTATGCTTTGTGGTGTAGACGAATAAAGGCTAGTCGGCCATTTCCTGAGGCAAGAGCTGACTATGGGAAAGGAGTGAGAAATGCTAATTATTTTTTTTTGTTGAGAAATTAAAACCAAATGAAAATATATCCATTTTCAGTACACATTAATTCGAAAAGTGAACGCATCCAATCCGAGTTTTTATTTTATAACGTGATTGTATAACAATGTATTCATAAAATGTATATACTATAACCTATAAAGCAATTTTTATAACTTCTCGTTTGGTGCTTTTTATTTGTATTGATCATCTTTTCATTGTTGTGACTAAGCCCAAGGGCCGCCATTTGTTGTTAGTTGGTATTGAATGGTACTCTGGCTACTAAAGCCTCGCTGTTTTTTGTTGTTGTATAGACTACAGTGGGTACTTCAAATGTCCACTACAGGTCAATCTGACGTAGTTGACCACTTGATGAAATAGTTTCCACACATGACGGCAACACAACGAAAATCAAGTTAAATTAAACATTTGTGAAAAAGAGATCAGCAAATTAATTTGATCTGTATAAACGGCCGGTTTCAGTATATTCTAACGAGTGTTTCTCCCAGAACTTTTCTCCGGGGGGGGGGGGGGGGGGGGCACTGATAAATGTATATATTTCTATATAAATTCCATTTCGTTCGGGGGGGGGGGGGGGGGCAGTAGACTTTTTTTCGGGGGGGGCCCCTCGACGAGATGCCTGGAAGAAACTCTGATTCTAACAGGACATGGTCATCCTTTTCTGGTCCTGTTAACATTCCATCAAACACGATTAACTACAGTAATAATAATTTTAATATACGAAATGTGTATGTTAATATGTAGTGTTAAGGTATCTACATCATAAATCATCTTGTATCAGTGTTACAACGCACACTAAGCACACACACGCATATACATACAACTGAGGGTTGTGTTCTATTTTTGGTATGCCACGCCACTCCAATTTTTTTTCTATTTTGCCCTTGAACTTTCGAACAGCTAGAGAAAGAAAAACGAAGCCTCACGATTGATTTCCCGCCCAATTTTGTCGCGTTCAACTTCCGCGTGGCCAACCGGAAGTCAAGAGAATCATCCAAATCATCCATAGAAACAGGAAATACCCTCAAAGAAAAATTCTTCAAATACTCTTCAAACTTTAAAACCTGATTTGAATCTGGTTGGGTTTAAAAAAAAAAATCGTCATTACAATAGAAGCTAATTGTGGATAATTAGCAGGGTTTGTTTGGAGGTCGTTGCTGTTACAAGCGTAGGCGCAGGGTTAAAGAAGGGAAGCAACGGGGGGGGGGGGGGGGGGGGGGGGGGAAGTAAACCATCACCGCTTGGAAAAACCAAATAAATGAGGAAAAACCTTGAAGGATATTATGTATATATATTATGTATATATTATGTATATATATATATATATATATATATATATATATATATATATATATATATATATATATATATATATATACATATATACATATATACATATATACATATATATATATATATATATATATATATATATATATATATATATATATATATATATATATATATATATATATATATATATATATGTATGTATATATATATATGTATATATATATATGTATATATATATATATATATATATATATATATATATATATATATATATATATATATATATATATATATATATGTGTGTATATATATATATATATCGACAATTATTAAAAGCGGGGCGGGGTGACACCCTTACGTAAACGTGTAAAATATGGAGAAAACAACGCTACATTCAACTGTATTATTAACCAACTATAGATAAATATCGTTTCTAGTGATTAAAGCTTACACATACATGTACGAGTATGCGGCATATATTAAAATTATAGGCCTATGGAGGCCGACAGACACAAACACAAACACACACGTATATATATATATATATATATATATATATATATGTGTGTGTGTGTGTATTGTGTATAGTGTGTATTGTGTATAGTATATGTAAATGCACATGTATATACCTATATAATTATATATATAGGTATATATGTATGTATGATATATATGTATACATAGTTCTGTGTATATATATAATATATTGGTTTTGGAGTTGATGGTACGTCTACTTAGTTCAAGTTCTTTTTTCCGAACCTGACAGCCCATTAGGCGAATGGAGAAGAGTTTATCTGTTTCTTGACCACGATTAACAGTGTGGTCGTCACTAAGCATATCGTGAGTCAGGTACCCATTGGAGCTGGGTTGGCTCAGAAACGTCACAGATCCGAACTCGACTTTCGCGTGTTAACAGGCGAGTACTCTGCGACTCCACCGCACCGTTCCATACAGTGTAGAATACATCATTTTAAATAGTCCCCGATAGACTAAATCGTCCTTTTTAAAGCCTTTGTGCTGCGGTTAAAATATGTGCAGAAATAATTGTTATAAGATTTAAAATATAGCAACATTAATTCCACCACACTAAGCTTGGAAAAAAATTGTTAAAATCTCGATGTAATCAATTTTAACCATTATTTTAAAGAGAACCTTTACACTAAAGAGGGGTAAGTATAGAAATTGAAAAAGATATTTTCCATAGTCATACCCCTTTAAATAAAAACCCTTTCTTCTTTTAAAATAAATATAAGTATTCTTAATTTTTTAAAAAATATATTTTTAGACCAAATGCATTGCATTCAAAATGAATACAGTAACATAATGGTAAAAATAAATAAAAAATGATTCCAAAATTTAAAAAATGTGTAACAAGCTATTTCTTTCGGCGCATAATATTTGCATTGGCTGTCCATTACATAGGAGATTCGCCGCGTAGGTATAGGATTCATACATTTGTAGCAACGAAGATTGTGGCTATCTGACATAACGCTTATCATCATATGTTAGAGCAGGGATTCTCATCCCGATAATAGTTACACGTTATTTGTATCTGCCTTAAAATAAATGTATCAATTAAAGTCAGTCTTTGTCCTCGTGTGATTTATGACTTTAAAAAATGTATTATGTAAAGTCATTGTTTGTCTTCGTTTGATTTATGACTTTTAAAAAATGTATTATGTAAAGTCATTGTTTGTCATTTGTTTGTTTAATGCATTGGTCGTGGGATATCGGATCAGACTTGCAGTAAAGTAATTAGATATATACTTAGATTATAAAACTTTAATAACAGACTGAAAGATGATACGTTCAAACAACTCTAAAACACTCTTAAAACATATTAACATGACGGGTAATAGCTCAGAAGAATTAAAGTTACTTTCTTTAACCTCGACATGTGAAGGAATTGTATAATCAGTTCTATGCCCAGCCGTCTCTACTTTGCCTCACCTGCCGGGTACCCATAAGAGCTGAGTAGACTCAGGTACGTCTATCAGTCTCGAGACTGACGATCGAAACAGGGTCTTCCGGGCAATAATAAACAACTTCCATCGATAAATTATTAATTAGCTATGTACATTTTAAAATAAAAACACAATAACGATACTTTCCAATATTAAAATTATATAAATGGAACAAGACATGTCGAAGCACTGGCTATTAAGCTGTAATAAAAATAAAATACACTAGCTGATGTAATTTTGATGCATAATAATAGAGTAAAATATGCCCATCATCATTTTTATTATAACTTATTTAGAAATGTTATTCTCTTGATGGATTTTATACGGTACAAGACAAAAAAGCATTAAAGTGTTAATTTTTAGCTTTATTTTCTTCCAAACGATAATGATTTAATCTTTGTTTTTCTACTCAAGGGAAACAATTCTTTAATGTTCGTTAATATTCAGCGGTAGTAGTTTCCCTTCTACTGTCCGAACGAAGAAAATTTCAAGTGTCAATTAATGATCACAATTCTGTTTATTTTGTCGGCGTTCAAAGATGAAGAACGTGGTAACAAGCGTGGCTATAGCTGTGACCACAGCCATAACGGCCACAGCTATAATAGCTGAGAGACCCCAGTCACTGCACGACCCAGCTTGCGACGGACCGGCCACGACTGTAGTGTTTCGTCTGACGAGCTCATCTTCAAGGGCTGCTCGATTTAAAACACAATCTGGTAAATTATAAAACAAAAACCATGTTTTAGTATACTGGAAAAAAGTATAAATTGTCAAATAAAAAAATTAGACAAGGGCATTAACTGTAATTTTAGGAAGGTCGTTTAATTCCTTACCTCCCCTCATTCATATTATGATTTCTTTTAGAAATCACGCTATAAAATCAACACATCTAAAAGCTAACATTACAATTAGTTACGTCGAATGGATTATGGAATATTGCATTATTATAACAAAATTAGTTATCTGGCTTTTTATTGAATATTTGATAACACTATAATCAGGTCGAATGGATTATGGAATATTGGATTATTTTATAACAAAAAGAGTTATCTGGCATTTTATTAGATATCTGGGTGACCCCACAGATAAACGTGTGTGTATGTCCCCTGTATCTACAGAAGCCTCTGATGGCATCTCTATCTTAGACTTCATTCTTTTAGAGTATGTGATGTTTACTCGTGAATATATGGGAATTGAATGATCGTAATATAATTGTTGGTTACCAAATGTGTACGAGGATGGCATGTTAGATGTTGCATGTGTATATGGCTGACGTATTTATAGTTACTCGCATGTTTGGCTGACATGTTAACTGTTATACGTGTATATCTCTGCTATGTTAACCGGTTTACGTGTATATCTCTAACAAGTTAACTGTTATACCTGTATATCTCTGCTATGTTAACTGTTGTCGTGTATATCTCTGATATGTCAACTGCTATACATGTATATCAATGAGATGTTAACTGTTATACGTGTATATCTCTAACAAGTTAACTGTTATACGTGTATATCTCTAATATGTTAACTGTTATACATGTATATCTCTGACATGTTAACTATTACAAGTATATATGGCTGACAAGTTACATGTTATATGTTTGCAATTATTATGCGAGCATATTAACTGTTACTCGTATATTTAGCTGACATGTGGACTGGTACACGTATGTATGGCTGATATATCCAACATGCTCACCAGCACCACATGTGGCGTTGAGATTGTCCACAACCACAACCACAGCTCCCACAATCTCCACATTCTCAGGGGCCGCGTCACGTTTTCGTCTCACGGAGAGGCTGCAGTGGCTCTGTGGAACAAATGGCGGCTCAATCACAGGTGATGTGATTTGGGGGAGGGGGGGATTGTGGGAAAAGGTGGATGGGGTATTGTTAGGTGAATTAAAGGGGAATGGTGGCGTGACGGTGGAATGGGAGGGAATGGTTGAAGAATGAGATGAACACATATTATTGGTGAGTAGTTGATGGGGAATGGTGTTTGAGAAATCGGGAATCCTTTGGAAGGGTTGTAGGGGTGGAGGGGGGGGGGGGGGGGAGAGAATTATAGAGACAATGAGAGGGAAAATTTGGCGAAAGTTTGGGAGTGGTAAGATAATAGTTGAGAACAAGAGGAAGGGTGAGGGACACACAAAAAAAAAACACAAGAGACATGTAGTTTTAAAATGTCAAATCTTAAAATTTACTAGTCTTATAAGTTTCAAGTTTGATTCTTGCCAAGTTTTAAAAATGTTAAGCCATTCAAATGCCATGTTTCATAAATGCCCCTCCCATTACAAATGTCAAGGCTTATAATTATCTAGTCTTACACATATTAAATTTATCTCTGCCCTTAGTCCAAAAGAACTGCAAAACTCACCCCAAGACATCGCAGGTCCGAATCATAACACAAGGCTGCCTGACACTGAAAATAGACCGTGTTTGATTGGTCAAACTTGAAGGCACTGAACAAGTTGGTCATGGCGACCTTGCCCGTGGGTGATTGGCCAATGAAGGGGGTCACCAGGGTTGGGGTGGTGGAGCATCTAAGAAGTAAATCTCTAACTATAAACTCTTAACAAAACTTATGCAGGAAAGAAAATATCTAGTTATAAGCTCATAACAAAATCAATACAGGAAAGAAAATCTTTTGCTATAAACTCTTAACAAAATCTATACAGGAAAGTAAATTTCTAACTATAAACTCTTAACAAAGTCTATACAGGAAAGTAAATTTCTAACTATAAACTCTTAACGAAATCTATACAGGAAAGAAAATCTTTAGCTATAAACTCTTAACAAAACCAATACAGGAAAGAAAATCTTTAGCTATAAACTCTTAACAAAACCAATACAGGAAAGAAAATCTTTAGCTATAAACTCTTAACAAAACCAATACAGAAGGGTAAATCTCTTACTATACTCTTAATAAAATCAATACAGGGGAGTACATTTCTACCTATAAACTTAAAAAAAATCAATATAGGCTAAATAAATCTGGAGCTATAAATATGTAATAACATTACTACAGGCAAATAAATCTGGAATTTTAAAAAATATATAATATTAATATTGGTAAAATACATATCTGACTATACTCTAAACAAGATCAATTCAGGCAAAAAAAATCCCTAACTATAAATAGGTAGATTCATCTTTAACTATGAACACTTAAGAAGTTCAATACAGCGAATAAATCTAAAACTTAAAATACTTTACAAGTTCAATGCTATTAACATAAATTTTCATGTGTTAAAAATGTATTAAAATCTAAAACTGTACTACAGTCAAGCATGCAATATTTGTAAATATTCTAAGTTCCAATAATTACGGACCACGCATTGTACCCGCAAAAAGGTTCTGACACCATGTTGCTGGATTTAGTTATTGAATTGTCTGACCTCTTTTACCCTCTAAAGTGAACCCATCGCTTGAGTTGACCCACTACCCCCTAGCGTTGACCTACTAATCCGTTAGAGTTGACCTACTTACATATATAGTTGACCCACTGAGCCGCTAGAGTTGACCCACTTACCCGCTAGCGTTGACCTACTAATCCGTTAGAGTTGACCTACTTACATATATAGTTGACCTACTTACCCGCTAGAGTTGACCCACTTACCCGCTAGCGTTGACCTACTAATCCGTTAGAGTTGACCTACTTACATATATAGTTGACCTACTTACCCGCTAGAGTTAAGTACTTGAATCACCGGTAATAGTCCTGGGCCTGGGCTAGCGTTGCACGAGATTATTCTGAGTCCCACTGCAGCTAAAAAAAGATCACAGTTGTCATAGTAACGTACTTAAAAAATCACGCGTCATCACTGTCCTGTTTTCAATTGCGATGTTTATGCAAGATTTTAATTAATTTTAATAGTGTATAATTAAAATATCGTTTTAAAAACCTTTCACCTCAAATAGTTTCTAATTCAAGAAGATTTTATTTACTGAAATCAAAGGAATGATGTAATAATGATATTGCCAATTATAGAAGTTTCACATTTCAAGGTTCCCATCAGAAACTAACACCAAAAACAAGGACGACAATTTTTGTTTTATTGAATTAAAAGCGTTATCTCCCTTTCATTGAAACTTACGGCTGTCCAGCAGCTGTGCTACAAGGCGAATCTGCTCCCCCACGACGATGGTTCTCAAGCCTGAGGAGCTGGACCCTGACACCACAGAGAGCGAGGCGGCTGTCGTGCGCTGAGGGGGTGAGACGGGGGGTGGGGAGCTGAGGGTGGAATTTTTAGAAAAATTAAAATTAGCTCTATTTAATGACACAAAGTAATAGGTAATGAAAATTGACATAGTTTGAGATATGATTCTTGTATTGTTTTCCATCATAGCCCTGCTAAGAGAGGAGTTGTGTCGAATTGTTGATCTTAACTTTCCCATTTTGGTTAGTAGTCTTATATTAGCACGGGTGACCTCGACAATTTCCATAATATTTTGGGTTAACGAAAGTGTTTCTACTATAACTAATTGTAAGTAAATACATCTATGTCAATAAATGCACACACACACACACACAAACACATACACACACACACATATATATATATATATATATATATATATATATATATATATATATATATATATATATATATATATATATATATATATATATATATATATATATATATATATATATATATATATATATATATATATATATATATATATATATATATATATATATATATATGTATATATATAAAGTGTATATCACATGTTCCGGTGACCCTGGACTCACACTGTAGCTGAGAGTATCTGGCTCCCTATGATGACCATCGAGGCTGCTGTAAAGTTGCAAGTTAAAGTGTAGGCGGAGTCCTCCGATGTGAGAACCGTTGGGTACTGTTGGACGTACACCACCACACTGTACACACTTGGGCCCGTGTTCTGAGAGAGGGGGGACACAAGTTTAGATCGGAGCGGGGGTCAAAACTTGTGAGGTGAGGGGGGTAACATTTGAGGGGAGGGGGACAAACTTTGAGGGAATAAGGAATAAGAATTTGAAGGGAAGGGGGGGCCATTTTGAAACGAGGGGGGGGGGATTTGAGATGGGGGGGGGGGGGAGGACGGGACGGGAGGACGGGACCAAATTTAAGAGGTTCAACTATTGAGGGGAGGAAGGTAACAAAATTTTAGAAGGACGGGGGTAGAGGTACGTGCGTGCGTTTAATTATAATTTAATTGCACATTTTCAAAAATTGTTTTAAATAGGTGCGTGAATATATTTAACATTACCAGACACCCAAGTCACTGGAAAATACAGCCCATTCCGTCTGACAAAGGTTGTTACTATCTTATTGATTAAACCCATCTCCCCTCATTAAAGTGTGTGTTTACATACTGAATATACTTATTCCTATCTTAATGTGTTTTTCTTAATTTTGTGGATGTTTTTATTTTAATTTTTCAACTGAAGTACACGCTTCTGATTTGAATCGCACAAAGTATTATCTTTCATCTACACTTTCTGTATCGCAAGTGTAGCTGGGATCATCTTAGATTTTCATCCCACGAGCAACCACCTCTTCCCGCGCCCGAGGCAAGCTCTTAATTTCGCCCTCCTATTTTCTCATGTATAAAGATTTCCCAAACATCCGGTGCCTATTAATAGCTCACGCCTGTGACGTACCAGAACTCCGCAACTAGTCCCGGAAGTGCTCGCATCAATCCTCATCACATACGGGCTACTCTCTAAGCCCTGTCCATATCCGGTTCCAATCGACTTTGAACAAGTGGTTTTATTGCCTATGGCGTAAACGTCTGCTGGGGGGATTTGCTCCGGTGCCGGCCGGAAGTAGGTCAACTGTATTGTAGATGGCGCTATACAGGCGTAGGACGCGTTGCCTTTGATCTTAATTTCAAAACATCGTTTTCAAAATGATTAGCACATATGTATAATATTAATATTGACATATCAAGCGTAGGTAATAAGTATAATATGCAAAACAAAGAAAGAAAACTTCATTTCAAATTTTTAGCAATTTTCTGACTTGCAAGTTTGAATCCCGAGCTCGAATCAGATCCAAGTAGAGGTGTAAATAATGTTGGCTTCTTATAGTGCTGAACATTTAATCCATTCACATGCTGAGGTCATACATACAGAGAAATGCTACTGACCTCGAGATCATTAAATCTACTTTACTAAAATATCAGACCATATACAGCCAACAAAATTATATGTATTTTAATTTATCATAGTTATACACTTAAGTGCGCAGGCGGGTTTTTCACTATGTTAATAAGAAAGATGCCTTCTCTATCCTACTTAAGTTTTGCCGCTGATTGTATTTACTAAATTAAAAGAACATGTTTTTAAAGCCTGTAAAAAATATCAGCAACTATAATCCAAAAGCAACGGAAATAACACCACCTAAACTCTCTACCATTAGATTCATTAACACTGTCAACACGTAAAATCACCACCACTAGAATCAACATCATCCAAATCCATTTCAATCAAAATCATCACCACCTAAACCAACCACCACCAGAACCTACACCACCTTAATACACCACCACAATAATCAACACCACATAAACTCACCACATTTGGAGCAGGACTTGGGATGACCATCCTACAAGAGCTGACGTAACGCTGGTCAGTTGAGCTTGGTCCAGCACACGAGGACTGGGCCACCACCACCAGACTGACCGTGTTGTCGGACGACTGCTGTATGACCACACACACATTCAGATATTAATATTTTGGCGGTTCAATCAGCATTTTTCTATTTTAAAAAAATTGTTTAATTTTGGGTTTTTTAATATTTCACAAAACTTTCAAGACTAAACAAAGATTTACTAAATCTACTATCATATCGATTTGTTTCACGCCTATAGTTTGCTTTTTGTAAAAGCGGATTAATAATTAAAGAAAAATTGTTTAAAATATCAACTCGAATATTGATCATATGTTTATTGGATTCAATTTTACTCGTACGTATATTTCCCTCTATGTTAGTCCTTAGACTACTCACAGATTACTCCTAGTTTTAGCTCAAAAAATAATTGTATTCTAAGAACACTGTTTAGCTTGTAGAATAGCTCAGTATTAACAGATTTGTCATTTTTAGCTCATACTATACAATAACATTTTGGGAGAAAGAACATTATTCTCTACATAAAAACGTATAAATATGTCATTGTATTTTACAGTTCTACACATTGTGCATATGATCTGATCAAGCGGAACCGACAAACAAAAAAACACATTGATTAATTCGAGTTTTAGTAGTATGCAGATGTTCGCCCACATGTTAGCCCATAGATTAGCCCTTATGTTATCCCAACAATTAGCCCCTATCTTAGCCCACTGTGTCCGATGCCCTACCGTGACGCCACAATCTGGGCTCTGGGCCTGCAGCCCCTGGCTGAGGTTGATGGTCAAGATGAAGGCGTCACTAAATGAGCCCGTCCCAACAAACGCGCCTGATCTATAGCCACACGTTGACCTGGTCAAGATGAAATACGTCATGTAGACAAATAATCGTGTCACTTTAACATGAGACCAGATCTGACAATCTCATTTAACATAAGAACATGCGTCATGTTGACAAACATATTCAACAATTGTGTAAATTTAACATGAGAACATATGGTAATACATTTTTTAAAATATTTGTCCATATTGTTTTTTATAAACATAATTTTTTTTAAGAAAAAAAATCTACTAATTAAATAATTAAAAAACAATAATTCATTGTAAACATATATAAATAACATATATATTAAACACAATTATTTCGTCATGAATATAAATAAGTGAAATTTATAAATGTATTTTACTAATGCAAACATATAAAAGTTGAGTAGGCCTATTTCCCACATGTATGTAAGGTAAGCTCACCCTTTGTTTTCGGCGTAGAAATCATAAAATTTATCTGGCTGACCGTAGAACACAAACTGCAGAGTTTTTGTATCGTTGTTACACCGGAAGAAAGCTGCAAATTGGTGGACAATATTAATATTACTTGGTGGGGCAGATAGGTCTTTCAAAGATTCTATAACTTAGATCATTAATGATCTTAGTGGTACTACTACTTCTCAATGGCGTAGCGGGGTCGGTTGTCACCCGGTGCGGCACTTAATGTTGTCACCCACCCCCCAGAGGCGTAGCGACCCCTCTCGGGGACAAACTTTCAAATTCTCGATTTGCACCCACCCTCAAGTTTTTTATTTGCACCCCCCCCCCCCTTCTCAAACATTCGATTTGCACCCCCCCCCTCAAGTTTTTCTCTATATATATATCTTGCTATTTTTTGCCTTGGTGTCACCCCCCTAAATGGTGTCACCCGGTGCGATCCGCCCCCGCCCACCCCCTAGCTACGCCCCTGCTACTTCCTACTTTCCTACTTCAATTGAATCAAAATTGATTTTTCCGAATGTAGTTTTTGTTTACAATTGATATAACAGTGGTAAATTGAAAAAAAATTTATTAAAAAAATGTATATTATATATAAATAAATTATATAAATTGATAGAAAAATGAAATTTAGTTGTTTTTTTTATAGTGAATACAAATCCGGGTTTAATAGCCAGTCCGACAATCATGCTATCACAACTAGTCTTCTTTTTCGGTTAATTTGAATATAAGTTGAAAAGAATGAATGGTTTTAGCAAATCTATATAAAAAACGTTGTATTATGTATTGTAACGTACCTATATCCTGGGATCTGTTTATCTGTGGTAAAAGCAAACATTTTTAATCGATTGCCCCCTTGAAAAAATTTTTAACTCAAACTTTAAAAATTCATTTACTGTTAGTTGTTAAAATGAGCAGACAAAAGTTTGTTAAAACATGACACTTTCAAATTACTGACTTTAATATGATTTATAATAGAGTAGTTTTGTTTATAGGAAACTTTTTATTTCTTATAACAATTTTCAGGTTTTAAAAATGTGAATGTTAAGTTTAATTTTTCGTGGATTTGACTTCATACAATTGATTTTCGGCAATTGTCAAAGACCCATTTCTGCTAATGAACAAGAAATTTTTTTTTAAAAATATTTAAGTACAATCTTAGCAAGAAATTTCGGACTTTAAATTTTATTTTATAGAACTTTATACTGTAGGACAAAACAAAACATTGATCTGGCATCTGCCGACAACCAAATACTTAGTAACGTGAATACCTTCTTCAATCTTTATTAACAAATCGATTTATGAATCACACAGTAATCAAGTACACTGGAATATCAGCTTTAGTGTAACTTATTATACAATATAACATGTAATTTCAGCCAGATTTTAATACACTTACTTTGATAAAACATAAGAAAAGAATAATGCAATAAATAAAATCCATCTTTGAATGTAGAAGATCTAAACGGGATCTAGTCGTGTTTTCGGCTAATGTTTTATCAAATTGTGAGTTGTATTTATCAGGCCTCCATCCTGCTGTCGTGATATTATGAGGGAAGGGCTGCCATTTGTGGGTGTGGAAATGTAAATAACTTATGGTAAAATGGTAAATCACTCGTCGTAAAGGTAAATAACTCGTGGGAAAAAGGTAAATAACTCCTGGGAGAATTACAGCTTTCATCCCATCATAATTTATCTAAACGTTACTAAAACGTAATTCTAGTTTTATTCATTTGAAATTAACGTTAAAATGTCAGCAAATAAACGGAGAAAAGAAATGTTTTGTTTAACAATTTGTTCAGCTATCGCCAAAAGGAAAGTTGACATAGATTTAATTAGTACTTCATAGCCTACCCAGGGTGCACCAGTGCGCGTTGATCAAGTAATTGACGAGTTGGCGCGGAGAGTACTTTTGGCGAACGTTCCATTATCTGGGAGGGCGATGTGGGGGAGCGTTTAAACACACGACAAAATATTTTAACCCGAAATTTAAATATTTATTCAAACATATCCTGGAGATTTGGCGCAGGTGTTTTAAGTTTAAATACGATTGCTAACTGTCTATTTATTTATTTATTTATTTTGTTATTTTCGGTTGATTCCGACGGGAAAATTGTTTATCTAAGCACTGAAAAAAAGTGTTTAGTCTAAAAAAACCTGAAACCTAGGCTAGCCTAGTAAGTATTTTTAAAATTAGGACCGGACAGAAATGGTTTTGTTTTAACCTATAATGTTGGAAAATAGGAATAATACTTTAAGTTATGTTTGTCAATAGTTCCAATAGGCCACTCTTGTTTGTAAGTAGTGCCAATAGCTCAGTCTTATTTTTCAGTAGTGCCAATAGACCACTCTTGTTTTTTGGTAGTGCCAATAGGCCACTCTTGTTTGCCAGTAGTGCCAATAGGCGAGTCTTGTTTTCATTAGTGCCAATAGCTCAGTTATGTTTGTAAGTAGTGCCAATAGCTCAGTCTTGTTTGCCAGTAGTGCCAATAGCTCAGTCTTGTTTGTAAGTAGTGCCAATAGCTCAGTCTTGTTTGTCAGTAGTGCCAATAGCTCAGTCTTGTATGCCAGTAGTGCCAATAGCTCAGTCTTGTTTGTCAGTAGTGCCAATAGCTCAGTCTTGTTTGCCAGTAGTGCCAATAGCTCTGTCTTGTTTGTAAGTAGTGCCAATAGCTCAGTCTTGTTTGTAAGTAGTGCCAATAGCTCTGTCTTGTTTGTAAGTAGTGCCAATAGCTCAGTCTTGTTTGTTAGTAGTGCCAATAGCTCAGTCTTGTTTGTAAGTAGTGCCAATAGCTCAGTCTTGTTTGCCAGTATTGCCAATAGCTCAGTCTTGTTTGCCAGTATTGCCAATAGCTCAGTCTTGTTTGTTAGTAGTGCCAATAGCTCAGTCCTCCTCGTCAGTCAGTATTGCCGGGGTCGGCGTTGTAGGCTTTGTATAGCTCATGGCTGCTAAACCGAAAAGTCCAGAGTTCAAATCCCTTGGCTGAACCTGGGGAAATCAACCCTTCTAGCAGAGACAGCTCCAAATTCAAACGACTGCTGCCTTTGTTCTTGGTTGGACAAAGTCTATGGAAACAAGTCCAGAAAGAAAAGCAGGCTAAATTCCGAGTCAACTACCCTAATGGCGCATAACACGTTGACACCTAATAATAAAGTACGAAGAAGAAGTCATTCAATATTGCCAATAGCTCAGTCCTTTTTGTCAGTAGTGCCAATAGCTCAGTCCTTTTTGTCAGTAGTGCCAATAGCTCAGTCCTTCTATCCAGTAGTGCCAATAGCTCAGTCCTTTTTGTCAGTAGAGCCAATAGCTCAGTCCTTCTATCCAGTAGTGCCAATAGCTCAGTCCTTTTTGTCAGTAGAGCCAATAGCTCAGTCCTTCTATCCAATAGTCCCAATAGCTCAGTCCTTCTATCCAATAGTCCCAATAGCTCAGTCGTTTTTGTCCGTAGCGCCAATAGCTCAGTCATTTTTGTCAGTAGTGCCAATAGCTCAGTCCTTTTTGTCAGTAGTGCCAATAGCTCAGTCCTTTTTGTCAGTAGTGCCAATAGCTCAGTCCTTTTTGTCAGTAGTGCCAATAGCTCAGTCCTTTTTGTCAGTAGTGCCAATAGCTCAGTCCTTTTTGTCAGTAGTGCCAATAGCTCAGTCCATCTATCCAATCGTGTCAATAGCTCAGACCTGCTAGCCAGCAATGCTGTTAGCACAGTTAGAGGCGTAGCGACCCTTCCCGGCGCCCGGGGACAATCTTTAGATTTGCACCCCCCCCCCTCCCTCAAACTTTCTATTTGCAGCCCCCCTCAAACTTTAGTTTTTTCAACCCATTTTGGCGTCCCCTAAGGTCGGCGCCCGGGGACATATGCCCCCCTCCCCACTCGCTACGCCTCTGAGCACAGTTTTGAAGATAATTCTATAATATAAAGTTGAAATTTTCGCTCTCTCCGACGTCACGTGCCCCTTTAACTGACGACATTATGCAAATTACCAGCTTATCTGAAACAGAGCGAATAATTTATTTTAGACATTTTTTTTTATCAATCGGATGGAGAATGTAAACACGAGGCGAAGAATTCATAGAACGAATTCAACCCCCCACATCGTTGCAGCCTTTTTTGTGATATTTTAAGACATGTCGTTATTTCAACGAGTGGACGGACATGCGCGAAAGTCATTTTTACGTTGACTCGCGCAGCCTTGCGGTTCGGTGAAGTATCGGACGGGCCGCTCCCGCTTGCCTCGGGCAACCGGGGTTTGGTGTTTGTCTGGCGAGGGGTAGCACGTGATCGCCAAGTGAAGGCGGGTCAACACCGGGAGGTGCTGACGACCCTGGTGGTCTCGGGGGGGAGGGGGGGGGGGGGGGAATGTTCGGGAAAAAAAATGTTGCGCCTGTTTGAGTTAAGCTGCAGGGATGAGCTGTCATACTGTCATTAGATTAAAGAAGTAGCGTAACTAGGGGGGGGGGGCAGTGTTTCTTTCAGACTTTTTTTTCCAGGGGAGCACTTGAAAATTTTCCGAGGGGGGGGGCGGACACCGGTAAAGTATATATTTTCTATTTCATTTCATACGGGGGAGGCGGCGGTAGGCTTTCTTCGGAGGGGGGGGGGGGGGGAGGTCTTCTTTCAAACACCTCTTCGGAGGGTGGGGGGGGGGGGGGGGGAATGTCCTCAGAAGGAAAATAATTTATTTACAAAATGTTATACTTTACCCCCTCCCCCCCCCCCGAAGTTTCAAGTGCTCTTTCCCCTCCCCCCCCCTCCCCCCCCCCCCTCCCCCATAATACAAAAAATATAGGCCTACCTAATTTTAATGAGACATTCTGCTTTTTTTCCCCCTATACATCTTTAGGCACAGAGTAATACCGTTGGAGGTGGAGATGACATCAAATTGCCTATAGTTTTTTAACATGATAAACAGTCGTTCGTGGGAGGGGGGGGGGGTGGGGCGACACACCTGGGGAACCGCATCAGGTGTTACCCAACCTAGTGACGCCACTGGTTGAAAGTTAGCTGTCCATATTTAACAGGCAGTTAGTCGGTTTTATTTAGTTGAAGAAAACATGAACCAACAATCTCTCCCCCCCCCCTTCTCTTTTAACTCACGGTATTTAATAATTACATATAGACTGGAAAAATAACTTTAAAAACTCAACTGAATTTTAATATCACAGTAAATTAGGTCTTTATTAGATACTTGAGTAGTGTAACCGATACTATGTGGAGTGTGTTGATGCTTGTGACAGCCATTGTGGCTGGATGTGGTGTAGACCAATGTTGACCTGTGGTGGAAGTAGCAGTGGTAGAGTATGTGTTATATGTGTATAGTAGCTAGAGGGGAGTGTGTTCAGATCATTGGAAGACGAATTGTTTATAAGGGATGCACAGAACAAGGTGAGACAGGAACGGGGGTGGGGGGGATTGAAATCAGTTGAGAAGGTAGGTGGGGGAGTGGAGCGAGAGACGATAAGATGAAATAGTGAGACACACATGGGGGAATGATGGGAAAGGTGCGAGGGAGAAAATAGTGAGACTACCATACAAGAGTATTATATGGGAGGAAGGGGACTCTAGAACAGGAGACTGTTAAGATGAGACTCGACGGTCGACAACATAACGTTGATCCAAGTGGAATGGGAAGTGGGTGGAGGTAAAAACATCTCGCGAGATGTGTGGGAGACCAAACTAGTCATGTGTTCTGGTATGTCTCTTAAAACATTTGCAGAGATAATTAAAATAATTAATATTTACGAAAGCCTAATTAATACTGATTAATGTTTGAGTAAAATGATGTTGATTCACGTGTGACGTCAAGAAACTCATGATTAACAGAAATATCTCCGACTAAATCGTGTTTGTATCACCTATCATACCAAGTTGACCAGCAGTCACATTTCAATGTCAATATTAAACTATAAACCATTTCTACTTTATCGTCTGATCTTGTTTTCATTTTGTACTTCGAACTGTAATTTATTACCAAATATGTATAAATGGGCCACTATTCCCAAAATTGATCATATGGCCTCTATATGCGGCATTCAAATATAATCGTTTACATTTAAACTTATTTATGGTCGGTTATTTATCTGAATTTTTTTTTAAATCAAGTTTCGGTCAACAAATTGACATGTTTTGTCTCTGGTCAAGCTGGTCCAAATTCATTTAGTTACAGTAGAAAAACTTTGGCTGTGTTAAGATGTTAATATTTACTTACCGTAACTAAAGAAAGAAAAAAGACGTCGACAAATGGGAGATAATTCTCTAGAGTATGAAGTATGCTCATATGTGAAATTAAGGAATAATTCAGTAGCGGGTTAGCAGTCCAGCTCTCTACCGCTAGACCTCTCCGTCCCCGTATAATTAGACGCACATATTTTAAATGTGGAAAAGTTTCGAGGAAGGGAAATAACTTTTCACGACAAAAATAACTCTAAAAAGAACAGTAGCTTCCCTTTTATTTTATTTTAGCCGTCTAAGTTGAAGTTTTATGCGTTATTACGGATTGGGTTGTGATTTTAGTTTTTAAATTTTTTTTATTAAAAAATTACTTTTAGTCTATTTTAATGCTTATATCTAGACATGTCTAGACATGTGTTCGTCGTTTCGATGTAGATGTTTATGAATAGCTTCGATGTACATGTTTCTTAATCGCTTAATGAAAATTTTATTCGCCCTTATCTAGATAAACTGAAGTTTGTTAATCACCTAGATTTAGATGTATGTGATCACTGCCCAATGAAGACAAGCCTGTTCGCAAGTAACTTTTAACAAAAGTGAACATGCGCCGTGTAACGCCCGTAACTCGCGTGGACTCGATGACATCTCTACTGAGAGTACTCACTGCAAGATGATGAACAACGGCCAGACATGCAAACTGTCATCAGCGGCGTAGCTGTCCATTTCGGCTTAGGGGGCGGGGGGGGGGGGAGCTGGTCACTGGATTTAGATGTTTCATTGCAGATATTTTGTGAGCGGGCTTTGGCTGTACAATTTAGCCGTCCACTTGTTTTAACCGTCTATTGGATTAAGCCGTCACTTTGCTAAATATTCTGTGAGTCGAATCACTTTAGCCGTCTATTGGATTAAGCCGTCACTTTGCTAAATATTCTGTGAGTCGAATCACTTTAGCCGTCTACTTGTTTTAGCCGTCTATTGGATTAAGCCGTCACTTTGCTAAATATTCTGTGAGTCGAATCACTTTAGCCATCTATTGGATTAAGCCGTCACTTTGCTAAATATTCTGTGAGTCGAATCACTTTAGCCGTCTACTCGATTCAGCCATCCAATTATCCAATCATTGTAACCCTGTACTCAATTTAGCCGATTTACTTCTTGTTTTAAAAAATGCATCTAACTAGAAATATTCGAGTTCTTATCTTGGGCTTGAGTACCTGAGTCCACCCAGCTCTGATGGGTATCTGGCTCCCGTTAGAAGCGTCCCTTGACGGAACCGGATGTACTGACCAGGTGACACCATCTAAAAGAGAAAAGATGCCAGCAAACATGGTGGCACTGGCAGATGGAGGGTGACACCAAAACAAAATTTGCAAAATTAATTTTAAAATTGTATTAAAATTATATATATATATATATATATATATATATATATATATATATATATATATATATATATATATATATATATATATATATATATATATATATATAGGGCCTATATAATGAAATATAAAATAAAATATAAAATAAAATATAAATATATATATATATTTGACTCCATTGTTTATGCTTCCAGCAGATACTATCATTCTTTCAGGAATTGAAATAAATAGCAGAGGCACTGTCGATTCGGCAGGCTAGCAGAGGTAAATAAAAATTATCTCGAAAGCCAAACAAAGCAAATTATTGTATGTAATTATCTAGCTGGTAATATATTTTATTTTCTGCGACCCATCCCACCCACCCCCTGCCATTTCCTTTCCTCAATAAATAAAACATTTAGGTTAATGAGCATCGTTCGTGCCATGCGTTTATATTTATGTTGAATTTGTTCTGCTCAGCTTCTCATTGATCAATACATTCATTTTTTTTTTGTTCTAATTAGAATATAAAATAACGGCTATTTATAAACTCTTTCTCAATCATTTAATCAGTTTTCTAATTAAGAGTTTAAAAAATAAATAAAACTAGTGTGTATGTGGGGTTGGTACTTGCCATTGCCAGTACCAGAATTTAGGTTTGAAAACAATATATGTAGAAGAAATAGCGAGATAGTTGTATAGTCAGTAAATATATATACAATTAAATACACACTCCGCATAATTATGTATAATATAGCTATGAATTTGCTAGTATTTATATTTGTATTCTATTTGTTTTACGAATTCGAAAAAATAATGTATTCACTATGTAAGGCGGTACGTGCTCGACTTAATTAGTTGAGCCTGGAATTTACTCACGATAAAACGTAACCACACTATATGAGTGTACAGCTGCGTCACAAGAGCGGGTGTCTCTCGTTCAGTGTTTCTTCTTGACTTGTTTTTCTCCGGGCTGCTCCGACCCCCCCCCCCCCCCCCCCAGAAGAGATGCCTGGAAGAAACTCTGCTCTCGGTGCAGTAACTGAGGGTGTCACCCCAACCCTTTCAATAATTCTTTTTGTCGTGGTGTCACCCCTAGAATGCTGTCAACTGGTGCAGACCGCACCCGCATTGTTACGCCACTATATATATAT